ATTCTCATGTGGAAAAGTTTAAGGGTCCAGGACAGCCAGGATAATCTGGAGAAGGGGAAAGATTTGCTGGTGATGAGGTGGGTTGATAAAATATAAACTTTTATAAAGCTTCAGTAGCAAAAATCCCTGATAATGGCATGGAGGTAGGCAAGTATACATTGAAGTATCCGGAGTGCTCAGGAAGGGCCACGAGAACTTGGTGTTATAAATCTGAGGTCGGGGATAGACTGATCAGTCAGTAGACTGTGCTAGGTAGTTTATTAGGAAAGGATGAATTAACTTAAGTGTATCTACATGCTCCTTAGAGATTACAATTCAGCAGACTATTCCTTTTGTATTCTGTATGTCACTAGCAAAATAATTTGGGAGCAAGTATTCTTTCTCCTGCCTCCTTTCCCCCTAAATCCAATCAGTAAAACAGTTTTTTGTTTTTTGGGTTTTTTTTTCTTTTAGACATTTCTTGAGCCGCTGTCGTTCTTTCCATCCCGCTCCACTGTTCTAGTTCTGACTTGGGCTGCTGCAGCTCTGGCTCATAGGTATCTACCATAAATACATCTTCCACATAGATTTTTAAAGTGAGCATTCTAAAAACTAAAAATACTGGCGGACCAGCAGTTGGCATAATGGCTCTGTTGCTGGACTCCCATGTAGTCGATCGCGGTTTGAGTCCTGGACCCGGTGGCTTAAACTCATGCAGGAGGCATGTGCGCGTATACCCAGGATCCTGAGAGGAGAATGGAGAAGGGATTGCGGCGTGGCCATTCCCCCCAGGGGGGGGATTTTTCTCTCTTTTTGTCTCTCTGTCTCTGTCTTTCTAGTGAGCGCACACGCCCTATAGCAAAAAACTCTCCAAAAAAAAAAAAGCTAATCTGACCATGGCGGACCACTAAAAGCATCCGATAGTACTAACCATACTCAGAATGAAGTTCAAGCTCCTCCGGGTGGTTTAAAAGCCCTAAAGTGGTTGTCTCCTGGTCTCTCCTGCAGCCTGGCCTCTGGCCTCTCCCTCTGCAGACTCTGGCATTCCCTCTCTGTTGCCTGCTATGGAATGCCAGCTTCCCTTTGCTCTAGTAACTTCTTTTGGTCCTTTAGAACTCAGCTCAGAGTTCTTTACATATCACAGATGCAAATTCTTTATGCAGATACCTTATCTAGACATTTAAACATTTTTATTATTATATTTTTGTGTGCTGGAGGGCTCACGTGCTCATCAGAGGGACTGGAGGTCAGGGAGAAAGTGCCCCTCTGGGGAGTGGTCTCCATACAGCCCCTTCTCCACCTCTCTCCTTACAGGGTTTTAGGCATGCACACGTGCCCTGCACATTTTTCAAGCCACTGGGTCCAGGACTCGAACTGCACAGTCAGCCCTGTGGGATCTGGCTGCCTTAACCACCAGGCCATGCAGCCAGCTGCAGATATTTTTATTAGTGCGTGGTTTGCATTTTCATTCTCTTTAGCAACATCTTGGGGCAAGCAGCGATTTTTACTTTTGATGAAGTCCAATTTATCAAATTGTTCTTTTATGCATTGTGTTTTCGGTGTTGAATCTAAGGAACTATTTTCTTACCCAGGGTCACAGAGATCTTTTCCTTTGTATTCTTTTTAGAAATTTTAGTTTCAGGTTCTGCATTTAGTTCTGTGATCTATTTTGAGTTCATTTTAAAGTAAGATATGGGGTATAATCAACATTTGTTTTTTATATGCTTATCTGATTTTTCCAGCACCATTTGTTTTAAAAACTATCCTTTTTCACTTAATTGTCTTTGCATCTTTGTTGCAAATTTATTGACCACTTATGTGTGGGTATAGTTATGTGCCCTCTGGTCTGTTCTATTTATCTATTTCTCTCTCTTTATGCAAATTTCATACTTACTATAAAAGCAAGCATTCCAGTTTAAAAATTGGCAAAAGATTTGAACAGGCTCTATATCAGAGAAGATTTATGAATGGCAAATAAGAAGGTTAAAAATATACAGCAAGTGGCATGGTCGTTAAGACGCTGGACTCTCAAATGACCCACTGTGGTTCATGTCTGAGGCCTGTGGGCTTGAAAATCACACTGGATGTGTGTGCTTGTGTGCCCAAAATCCTTAAAGGAGAATGAAGGAAAAGGGGTTTTGGTGTGGCCATTTTCTCCAGGGGGATAATTTCTTCCTTTCTCTTTCTCTCTCTGTTTCTCTCTTGGCAAGTGCACATGCACTATAGCAAAAACCTTAAACAACATAAACAAAGGTACACAGCATCATTGAACATTAGGAAAATGCTAGTTAAAACCATAGGGAAATATCACTGCATACCCATTAGAGGGGTTAAAATTTGAAAGACTGATCACACCAGTGCCAAGGATGAGGAACTTGAACTCAGCCACTCCTGGTGGGAATTAAAAACGGTGCAACCATGTTAGAAACAGCTTGGCAGTCTCCTATACAGTCGAACACCTGCCTGTCCGGGGACACAGCCATTCTCTCCTCCACGTTACCCAGGAGAAATGGGAGCAGCTGTCGAGTCAGAGAAGACTCGCACATGGGCACTCATAGCAGCGTTCTTGGTAATAGTCAGGAAGTAACCCAAGTGTCCAACAGGCGAAAAGATAAACAACCGAGATGTATCCAGGTATGGAACACTTTTTGGCAATAAAGAGGACTACAGGGGCCAGCAGGTGGCATGGTGGTTAAGGGTGTTGGACTCACACGTGGCTGACTACAGTTTGAGCCCCAGACCTGACGTCTTACTTTCTCACTTTTCCCTCTCTCTCTCTTACTCTGTCCCTCTCTGTTCAAATTTAAATAAATAAATTAATTAAATTAAATTAAATAATTCTTGAAAAAAAAAAAAAGGAATACAGAATTGGGCCAGTTGCATAGCTCAGTGGTTAAGCGAGCTGGACTCTACCTGGCTGGTCATGGTTTGAATCCTGACCCTGACCACTTGGAAAACATACTAGACAAACATGTATGTGCAGGTGTGTGTGTGTGTGTGTGTGTGTATCCCAAATCCTGATAAGATGAAGAAATGGAGGAAAAAGGATTGGGGCGCGACCATGCACCGTGGGTTAGGAGGGATACTTTCTCATCTAATATCACATGTGTCCTGGCAATATAAATTAAAAAATGTAAAAGAAATTTTAACATTAAGAGGAATGATGTAGTGATACCTGCCCTAGGGGATGGATCTCAAAATAAGTCTGTCTAACGAAGAACCTGGAGGAAAGAGCCCTGCCCTCTGATTCTGTTTACATAAAAATAGCATAAATTATAATGACAGAAAGTGGATTAGTGCATACAGCGATTGGGGGAAAAGGCAGGGAGAGGCTGAAGAAAGGGATGGCCAAAGTGGGCAAATGATGCCTATGTGTCTTTTGTTGATTGTGATGTTTACAGGAAGAAGCATGTCAGCATTCCTCTCTTATACTTTAATCATGTGCAGTTTAACGTCGAGGGACTGATTATTGACAGTCGGGCCAGTAGAGATCCCCCTGTCCCATCCTCTCAGTTAGCAGTGACCACCAGCACACACCACTGTACCTGGCCTGCTGGAGGTTGGCCTGGGAACTGAACTCTGACCTCCTATATTGCCTTTGCCACCATGCCGTGCTGCCCACCTGCTCACACGTCGCGGCTGGCCCGGCGCCAGCCAGCTTCTCAGCTCTGGGCGAGACCAAGTGAGGTGCCCGCCTCGACGCTTTCCTGCTAGCCGCCGCATACCACGTCACTTACTGTGTGCCCAGGCTTCCTTGGCAGTGTGGCTCCAGCACCCAGATGAGCACGTCGTTGCCCCGCCGGTTCCCCTGGCCTGCTCCGGACATTTTAAACATAAAACAAAGTCTGTTAGGTCGTGTTTGCATAGCTCTGGGTGAAGCGTTTGGGAGGAGGCATTGGCAGTAAAAGTGTGGGAGCCATCAGAGCCCAGATGGCAGCTCAAGCTGCGGGGCCTGAGGAACCACCAGTAGCTCGAGGTGGGCAAGTGGGCCCAGACCTCTCCAGTGCTTAGAGGTCGGCCGATAAGAGGAAGTTCTGAGAGGACCGGAGGGGAGCCTGCAGTGGGGAGGAAGGAAGCACGTGAGGAGAGCCTCCCCGGGCAGCAGGGTCCACTGTGGCCACCGCTGCTGGTCGCTGGTCGAGAAGGTGAGGGCGGAGGGTCAGCCGCCAGACTTGGCAGCATGGACCGCTCTGGTGGGAGGAAAGGCCGCCCGGTTGTAGATTTGAGAGACTGGAGGAGATGAAGCCCAGAGAGAAAATACGACCTGGTGTCTCTTGAGGATTTTCGTTGTGGGGGAGCCGATACAGGGGCCGCTGCTCTGCAGGCCTTCCCTCCCCGTGCCCCTCTGCCCTGCTGTCTGGCTCCCCAGGGCGGCTTCATTCCTCCATGGGCTCTGCCAGGCCTGTGGGTTCAGAGCTTTCGCCTGTCTCACAAACAAGACATTAACACATACTATGTATGATCTCTTGAGTTTAGATTCAATAAAAAGGAATATTTATTTTGAGCAAGACATCCTTTTGGGGATCACAGGGCCTATAAAGCTCTACAAGGTACTTCCTTCCTTCAAAATTGCAATGTGGTAGAGGGAGGCACCCGAATGACTACAGCTCTGGGGGATTCAGGGTGCAAAGTGGAGGCGTCAGGACAGGCTCCGAGACAAACTGATGTTTGACATGGCCCTTTCCACACTGGCAGGGTTCTCCGGAGCTTAGACAGAGGGCTTGTTAAGGAGTAGTGGGCATAACGGTAGTGAGGGCTCAGAGGCAGGAAGTCCTTGTCATATAACCCTTGGGTGGACGATCATGTTCTCACTGCTCTGACTACTACTTCTTTGTATCTTCTGATTACAAATCTTGAGACAGGATTAAGTTAATCAGCCCTCGTAAAACTCACATTTAGAACATTTGAAACAAAGCGTTTGTATCACAGAACTCTGAAAGTAATGGTGTAGTTCTCTCCCCTTCACAGAGGTGCCCTGTGAGCTGAAGACTCACATGTCAGTCACTCCTCTCTGTCTTTAGGAAATGGAGTTGTTCTTCCCTTCGAGCGGAGGCTGTGGGCCAGCAAACACTGCGAGATTCACCAACTGTACCTGCTGCATCGTGAAGCCCCACGCTGTCAGTGAAGGTAAGTGCCGTGGAGGACGCAGCACTCAGGCATCTTGTTGACACAGTTGTCTGTTTAGCTACTGTTTATATTCTTTCTTTGAAAATTTTTATCTTTCCTGAGCAAAAGAGTACAGAATTTTTTTTTTTCAACAGAGAACTTTATATTCTTTTGTGTCTCTCTTTATCCTAGAGATATTTTTGCCTTAGGGCATGTGTACTTGCTGGAGAGACAGAGAGACAGAAAATGAGAAATCACCCCCCAGAGGGGATGGCCACGCTGCAATTCCTTCTCCTCCATTCTCCTCTCTGGATCTTGGGCACACACGCCTGACGTGAGTTTCAAGCCGCTGGGTCCAGGACTTTGGTCTGAACCACGGTTGGCCATGTAGGTGTCCAGCGATGTAATCACTATGCCATCTGCTGATCTCAATTCTTTTGTCTTTTAAATGTTTCTTCCCTTTACTTTTCCCACCCACCCTCTACCATTCACTCCCACCCACCCACCGTCCTTTCTTACATTCTCTGGTATCTACATTAATTCTCTCTACTATCCTATCTCAGGATCTTTCCATTTCTGCCATAGAGTGCAGACATTCGGTACATATTGAGTGGGGATATACAGTGCCTATCTTTCAAAGTCTGGCTCACTTCACTTAACATTAAGTCTTCTTTGAATCAAATCTCCTAGTCTCGTATAGCTGAGTACTATTCCATAGTATATATGTGCCTCAGTTTTTCAATACAGTCATCAGTTCTTGAATAACTAGGTTGATTCCATATCTTGGCAATTGTGAATGATGTTGCAATGAACATGGATGTGCAAGTGTCTTTCTGACTGAATGTTTTCCTGTCCTTCACATAAATACCAAGGAGTGGGATTAATGGGTCATATGACAGTTCTATTTGTAGGGTTTTGAGGAACCTCCATATTGTTTTCTGCAGAGGTTGAACTAATTTACATTCCCATTAATAGTATAAGAGTGTTCCCTTTTCACCACAACCTCCCACCACTTGTTATTCTTTATTGTTTTAATCATAACCATCTGACCGCAGTTAAGTGGCATTTCATTGTGGTTTTGATTTGCATTCTCTTCGTTATGAGATGTTGAGCATGTTTTTATATGCCTTTTGGCCATTCATAAGTCTTCCTCAGAGAGTTGTCTATTCAGTTTACTTGCCCATTTTTTAATTGAATTCTTCATTTTTTTTTTAAGCATGAACTGCTTGAGTTCCTTATATATTCTGGTTGTCAATCCCTTGTCTGAGGAATGATGTGCAAATTTTTATTTTTTTAAGAAGTTGTTGTTGTTGTTTTGCTATAGCTCGCATATTATCACTGGAAAGACAGAGAGAGACAGAAGGACAAAAGTGAGAACTCTCCCTCCAGGGAGGATGGCCACATCACAGTCCTTTCTCTTCCATTCTCTTCTTGGGATTTTGGGCATGCACAAACATGCACCTGGCATGAGTTTGAAGCCACAGGTTCCAGGACTCGAACTGTGATTGACTACATGGAAGTCCAGCAATGTAACCATTACACCATATGCTGGTCCCAATGTGCAACTATTTTTATCCCATATCACCAAAGCAATACTGTACAAAAAGAATAGTCAGGGGCCAGCAGGTGGTATGGTAGATAAGACACCAGACTCTCACATCGCTGACTGTGGTTCAAGTCCCAGGCCTGGCAGCTTACTTTCTCATTTTCTTTCTCTCTCATTCCCTCTATCTCTCTCTGGTGAGCTCATTGTACTATAGCCAATTAAGTAACAATAGTAAATTAATTAAATAAGTAATTCTTTTTTTCAGAGAGGTTTTTGCTATAGGGTGTGTGTGCAGACTGAAAGAGACAGAGAGACAGAAAGTGAGAAATCATCCCCCAGGGGTGATGGCCACACCGTAATCCCTTCCCCTCCATTCTCCTCTTGAGATCTTGGGCACACATGCACACACGCCCAGCATGAGTTTAAGCCATTGGGTCTAAGACTCGAACTGCAGTTGACTACATAGGAGTCCAGTGACATAGCCATTATGCCAATTCTTGGTCCCAAATAATTCTTTTTTTAAAAAAGAATAAAGTAGGAGTCATCTCACTACTCAGCTTCAAAATATATTATGAAGTAGTGGTAATCAAAACAGTATGGTACTGGCACAAAAATAGACACATAGCATATGCAATAGAACAGAATAGAGAATACAGAAATAAATCCCAAATCATACAGCCAACTGATCTTTGACAAAGGGTACAGGATAATACAGAGTAGAGAAGAAAGTCTTTTGATAATTGATGCTGGAAGAACTAGACATCCACCTGCAGAGAAATGAAATTAGACCCTTAGCTGCTGTTTATATTTTTGTAGAAATTCAAATATATAAGTCAGCCCCATAGCCCAGTGGTTAAAGGATCTAAATCCCACTTGGCTGACCCTGGTTTGAATCCAGCCCCAGCAGCTTGAAAAACGTGCTGGACATGTGTGTGTATGCCCCCAATCCTGGCAGCATGGAGAAGTGAAGGGGAAGGGATTGTGGTGTGACCGTGTTCCCCTGGAGGCTGCTTTCTCCCTCTCTCCCTCTCTCTCTGTCTCTCTCTAATGGGTGCATGCCCCCTCTGGCAAATTAAAAAAGAAAAAAAGAAATTAGGTATAGCTTTACTATTTCCATTTATTCTTCCCTCTGAAGATTTATGAGTAAAGATGGCAAATTATAAGGGGAAAATCTAAGCCTGGCTTTATCGTTCTCCTTGTGTCTGTGCAGTTTCAGAAGGTGATCCTGGGGTGGCTCCTTGCAGTCATGCACACTTGTTGTGTGCAGGTTTTCATCCTTGACTTCTCCCAAATCTGTGACTTAGAACAGTGTCCTCTAAGCCTGAGTTTACCCCTCCTGAGGAAGTTGGAGTTCTCAGCATCTGAAAACATTATTTGAGTGGTAATCAGTATATACACATTTATACCCATGTATACATACATGTATACTTACATACTTACAAGGGGATTTCAGAACATTTGTGGAAAAAATGGAATTAAAGTATGAATTACTGCGTCCAGCAGGTGCTGGACTCCCACATGGCCTATCATGGTTCAAGTTCTAGACATGGCAGCTTGAGAATCATACTGGGAACATGTGCATGCCCAAAATCCCAGGAGGAGACTGGAAAAGGGATTTCAGTGTGGACATCCCTCTTGAGGGGTAATTTCTCACTTTTCCTCTCAGTGTTTTTCTCTCTCTCTCTCTGGCAAATGCATATGCCCTATGACAAAAACCTTTAAAAAATAAATACAGTATGAATTACTTTTGGTACAAAAAAAAATCCACACAGATATTATATAATATGGATTTCCCATGTACGTTTTGAAGAACCCATGTATAAACTGAGAATTTGTACTTTTTCTTATTTTTATATCAATTTTTAAATTTTAATTTGTTGTATTTTGTCTGTTATGGAGGTGGAAGAGAGAGGGAAGAGAAAGGGAGAGAACCCAGGAGATAGGTGTTCTGACAAGTACTGCTGGTAGCGATCCTCCTGCCCAGCCCCTGGTAGTGAGGATCAGAGGTGTTCACAACCACATGCGGCACTTCCGGTTCCCAGGCCTCTAATGCCCACCCCACCCCCCCGCACCCATGTTGGCACTTCCAGCATGCTGCCATAGCTGAGCTTATCATGTGTATTTTTTTTAAAAGAATTCTTTATTTAATTTTATTTATTATTATTTTTAAATTTGCTGTAGGACGCATGAGCTCACCAGAGAGAGAGAGAGACAGAGAAAGTGAGAAAGCAGACCACCTGGTCCAGGACTTTGAACCGTGGTCAGCTGTGTGGGAATTCAGCACCTTAACCACCATGCCACCTTGCTAGCCCCTATCATATGTATTTTGGAAGAGAGATGTGTATAGTTAAAAAGATCACCCTTAAAAACTAGAATATAGTGAGTAACTTACAAAATTGAACATAATTTATTTTCTAAGTATCAAAGTGATCTATGGATATATTAGAAAAATTCAAAAATAAAAAATAAAGGATTACTTATTTTCTCATCAAGACAGAGTCATTGTTAATATTTTGACGCATTTTGCCCCTATCTTTCTTCTGCATTTGTATATATGTGTGTGTAACTGATGGGCAGTAATGTAATTCTCCGCATGGGTAAGATACAGGTCTAAGGGCTGTTGTTCCCCTTTAATTCTTGTGGGCATTATTGGCTGCCCTGAACTCTTCATGAATATTTTAATAGGTTCCTTAATATTTAATAACAATCACGTGGATGTGGAGTAATATTCAGATACTTAGGTGGTTTCCAGGGTTTTTTTTATATTAAAAATAAGGCTTTGAAGAATATCTCTGTACATTAATATTTAATGATATCGCTAATCATTTCTTCTGGCTAGTTTCCTAGAAGTAGAATTACTAGTTGAAAGGATATGAACCTTAAAGATCTTGTTGCATAATTAATACTTCTTTAATTATTTAGGAAGTACTTTACTAGATGGCAGACCCTTAGGCCCATGATTACAAGTAACTCACATTCATGGATGGGCACCAACATTCATGGTGATCTTACCGCTATGTGCCAAATAGCCAGAGAGAGAGAGAGAGGGAAATGAGAAATGACCCCCATCCCCGGTGCATGGCTATGTCACAGTCCCTTCTCCTCCGTTCTTCTCTAGGGACCTGGGCACTCTCGTGCATACACCAGCGTGATTTTGAAGCCCCTGGTTCCAGGACTTGAACCACAGTCAACCCTGTGGGAATGTAGTGCCCTAACCACCATGTCTCGTGCTGGCCCCGTTTTTGTCTCTGTGGTGTGTGTATGGGATTCTTGTGTTCTTAGACTGTGTCATGATCCTCCTGCCTACTCCATCTGAGTGGTTGGGCTGACAGGCACATGGCTCCATGCACAGCTCTTCGAGTGGGTCAGGAGTGGTGAGAATTGAACACCAGCTTTCTCGGGGGCCTCAGCTTACCGAGCAGTAGCACCCAGTGTGGCTGCAAGGGCTGGGCCTGGATGGCTGCTCTCACCCTTG